CCTGTACCCCTCTTCTTTTACTCACATTTCAAATATCCCTTGAACTACGTTTAAAAGTAAGTTACTGTTTCAAGTGTTTATATTTCTTTCCATAGAATTCAGTAACTATGCCATCATGCCTTAAATTAATGAGATAAATTCTCGGAAACGGATTTATATAAGTTAATTCAACTTGTTTCCGGATCCCATTCCTCTGAAATTGTTTGTTATGTGATGTAATGCAACTTAGTTTGGAATGAAATAAAGTTTATATGAATTTCATTCTTGTTTTACATATATAGTAACTGTCCCCTGACGTTGTACATCCAAGTAATATTTTTTCATTCCAACCCTTTTAAAATGGAGTTATGACCCTTTGTTGAATAAACCTTTGTCTGCCTTAGAAACTACTGGGCCGATTTCAATGAAAGTTTACAGATATTACCTCCTGATGTCGTGCAGCAGGCTAGTATTGTTTTTCGACCCTTTTTAAGGAGTTATGGACCTTTTTTAAAAATCTTTGTCCTGACATCTTCTCCTTAACTAATAGGACAATTTTAGCAAAACTGGTTCATCTGGGCTAACAACATTTGGTATGTAAGTATGTTTAGGGTGGGAAGGGAGTACAGGAAGTATGTCAATGACCAGTATACTTAAATAAGTGTACAGCTCAGTCAATAAAAAAATCATTACTGGTGGGAGACTATGGATTGCTTTGCCTTTAGCCTTTAGCTTACAGTTCTGGTTTAAATAGCAGCGGGGGTATTAGTTAGCCTTTAGCTTACAGTTCTGGTTTAAATAGCAGCGGGGGTATTAGTTAGCCTTTAGCTTACAGTTCTGGTTTAAATAGCAGCGGGGGTATTAGTTAGCCTTTAGCTTACAGTTCTGGTTTAAATAGCAGCGGGGGTATTAGTTAGCCTTTAGCTTACAGTTCTGGTTTAAATAGCAGCGGGGGTATTAGTTAGCCTTTAGCTTACAGTTCTGGTTTAAATAGCAGCGGGGGTATTAGTTAGCCTTTAGCTTACAGTTCTGGTTTAAATAGCAGCGGGGGTATTAGTTAGCCTTTAGCTTACAGTTCTGGTTTAAATAGCAGCGGGGGTATTAGTTAGCCTTTAGCTTACATTTCTAGTTTAAGTATTGTATCGTCTTCGTGGATTATATTTACTTGATAGAGTTTTTTTAAAAGTAGTCGTTATGGATGTTGACATAAGAATATTAAAATATGTTATTGTTATATAGAGTTGAAATGTAACGTAAAGACAACTCACATATATACCTTATTATCTTTAGTTTATTAACAATATCACATGTCCACATAAGTTCCAAAGAACCCTGACCGACGTCGATATCGTGAAACACAGCTAGAAGAATCCCAGTGATAGATTTCTATTAAGTCCATTGCATATACTCATTTAATGCAGCAAATTATATGCGAACAATCTGGCAAACCAAGTAGTATGAACTTCATATATTGAAAGTGAACGCTATAGGTACTATTATTTCACAATTCGTTTCAGTATAGGTGTTTCTTCCCGGTACGAGTCGGACTCTGATTGACTTAACATGACTCGTCGCACTTGAAAAAAATTCATAATGACGCGTTCAATTAAAACAGAATAAATTTTAAAAAAAAAGTCCATATGCATAAATCTAAAAAATTACAAATATGTGACCTGGGAATTGCTGTCTAGAGGTGATGTGACTGAGGGGCAGGAGACGGTACTCAACCTGGCCTTTAATTCCTCTAATGCTGTTACCTCCACTGCTGATTCTGATAGTTAGTTCTATTCACTGGTGGACCTTTGGGGAAATGAATGACGCAAGATGTTCCCCTTACTCTGGTCTATCTTAGCTTGTGATGCCCTTGAGCTGTATTGGCACATGCTATGTAGTATACTGTTGGACTAACTGTCATCAGGTTGGATTTTATAGCATGTTGTTAATGTCTGTTTTCATTGACGTGTTGCGATGATGACTATTTTCTCATCTTAAGGTTATGTCTTGGTAGCAGTTATGTAAACTATTGTGCTGCTATTCCCTGCACTTGTTCAAAATTTGTTCAAATATTTGTGATTTGCTGTTGATCAAATATTGGAGAGGCCCACACTATGGCTATTCGTACTAAGGCGGTGAATGCTGATGCCTTGGTGTCTCTTGTACATCTTCCCGGAAATCTTTGTAGGAAGCTAAGGGTCTTAGAAAATGGGAAACGGAAACATTTGTAAAAACAATGTGTGCCGCAGCAGGTATCCACAACAACTTCTCTCCAATCATTCCGGGGAAAAAACCTGTTCAACATCTCTTTTCCAAAATGGAGTACATGGAGCGCAGTGGTCACAGAAGAACTGCACTCAAAGAATATATAGATACACCTCTACTGTTCATTAAAACGAAATTAAATGGATTACTGGAATCCCCGTTAAAAATGCATGGCATATGATGCCTTCTGAAAATACTGTTATTCTTTACACCCGACATGCAGCTCTAAGTTATAAACAACGAAGTGACCCGCCTCATTGCACTTTTTTCAATATTCCCAGGTCAATCTTATTCAATTATAGCCTTTGGCTGAGGTCGATAAATCCAGGTATTGACCGAAGGTAAAGGCTACAATTGTTTTATTATTTTCAAAACAGTAAACAGTAATGTTCGCAATCTGAAAAGACAACATAGCAAAAAGCTGAGGAAGCGGGACGATGCGTTCGTTTGGGGACACGTCATAATTCTATTTTTAGAAACACACAGTCCTTCAACAAAAATCACGCGCTCCAAGTCAATATCGGTTTTTATCGGTGGACACGTGATTCACTTCTGGCCAATCATTTGTCGGGAATAATATGAAAAAATAATAATATTCAATTATAGCCTTTGGCTGAGGTCGATACCTGGATGTATTAACCCGAGAAAAGATATATTAACCTCGGACTGCGTCCTCGTTTAATATATCTTTTCTCGGGTTGATAAATCCAGGTATCGATCTCAGCCAAAGGCTATAATTGAATATTATTATTTATTACATGGTTTGCTTAGCGAACCTTGCGCATAAAAAGCCTTTGATGTTGTATACAATATATACAATTATCTCCAAAGACAGCGCATTTAAAAAAAAAATATATGTTTGAAATATTATTATTGCACAACCAAATATGCTATGGTGCATAATTTGACATCTTGTATAAGGTTGGTCAAAATATGTCTTCTTACAAAATGAACACTGTCTCTTTGAAATATATTCAAAGATCAAGATGAAATATGATACATCTATAATACAACAAATACATGCATCTGAAGTAGACTATATGATGTTGGTTATGACAACAGAAGGTAACCTAGCAACTGCACATAAAACCTTATCTTATGATCTATTTTTCTTTTGAAATATTGAAAAAACGAAAAATGTCCAGAGAGGTGTGATACAGGTTTTGCGGGCTGATACGGGTTTTGGGGTGTGATACGGTGGGGGCTGATACGGCTTTTGGGGTGTGATACGTCGAGGGCTGATATGGGTTAGCGCAATTGTGTCGTATCGCATATACAAAAAACCCGTATTTATTAGCAAGTATGTAATAAACATTTTAAATATATGGAAACACCTTGATATACTCTATTATTAGCATTATTATTACATACTTTACGGCCCATCAATATAGGAGAGTCTATATAATATAAAAAGTCACAGGACATAGTCGCGAAGATAAAAGTAGATTTGTACAGACTCTCTGTATTATCTTGACGTTGCGGTGTAGTAATGGCTGCTTCAAGCTCGTTGGATTTACCGACCAAAATATTGCATGCTCGACACAGAATTAAATCCTTTATAAGGAGGACACCACTGGAATACTCTTCTGGTTTAAGTAAGATGGCTGATGGGTGTGATGTTTATATCAAGCTAGGTAAGTATAAATCAGCACTAGGCACAGTTTCTCCAACTGACAGGTCGCTTCTGATTAACAGAATCTTTCCTTTAACACGGGTAGCGAAGCAATGGCAGTTTACCGCTTCGCTTTAAGTTTCAGACATGATGTTTTGTCTTGTGAACTGCTGTACAAATTTGTCCTGATTTTGATAGAAAATTGATCCATATAATTGACTTTCGAAAATATAAAAGTTTTTTTATCATTCAAATGTTGTTTTTTTTTTTTTAAATACAATTACAAACAAAAACAATAACAAAAAACAAAACAAACAAAAAAATCGTAAAAAGGTATGATTAAAAATGTTACAACTTTCTAAGAGCATGTCACAGGTTACAAACTTGAGGAAAAATATGCTCATTGCTAACTTTTGCACACAGTCCTGAATTATTATTGAATTTGAAATTAAATACATAATTAAATGTCCACAAAACTAACATATGATGTAACAAGCCTCAACAAATATGACTTGACAATACAAACCTAGTACAATACGTACACATACAGACCATTAAACCTAACCTTCCTACCATTTACAAACAAAACATCAATCCACTGACTTAGTTTCAATGTAACAATCATTCATCTAATTTTGTTACAAATGAAATACACTAATTTATTGTCTTTAACATGTATCTTTCTACCCTACAGTATTTGTAATTTCGAAACCTCAAAACAAACGTAAGACTTTTGTAAACTATAACGGTATACATAATGATATAAAACATGATGACTACATCATGTTGGCCGGGTTATCCTAGCAACACAGATAAAGACATCCTCCATATCCAGGGGTTACGCTCACTTTCATACCACTTAAAGTGCACTGCCAGAAAAACGTGGATACTGACAAGAGAAAATCGCTGGAGCACCAAGGGGCGACCGCTGTTCTGTTCGGCAAGGAATATTTGGATGCTGAGGTGGAAGCTCGGAGGGTTGCAAATGTAAAATAATTTTTGAGTGTTATTAGGCAGATTTGGTTTTTGTGCAATTTGTGCCGAATTTGTCCCACACATAGGTGGTCTTTTGGTAGAGAAATAACTACTTTCGGTGAACATGGGATGCTGATAGACCCTAGCAACATGTTGATTTTCATGATTGACTCGTGGAAATGTTAAATTGTGCTGACACACTATTGGAACAAAGTTGGGTTGCAGGATCTGATCTGGAAGAAGGCAGTCGTTAAATTTCCATGACGAAAACAAGAGGTGTTCGTGCCATGGGATCATACAGAGCCCCTCTCCAAACAAATCCCTCGCTATAATATAATCTTTGTAGTCGCATCTTTGTGGCACAGAAAGATAGAATCATGAATCGTCAATAAAAAGATCCCGTCTCCAGCGTCCCATGTCCAATCCTCTGGGGGCACGTTTACTTAGACAATGCATGCGAATAGCACAACGTTAACGTTGCTATCGTAACGTTCAGACGATGAACGATAACATTGTAAGACTGCGTCATGCATATATATTTAGAGAGTTTTCGGGTCAACGGGAATATTGTTCACCCTAAATCATTCATAGATGTTCCTAGTTCTACTAAAGATCCGTGTCTTGACCTCGACGACATGCGGCCACTCTTTGATCGATTGCAAACTTCCCGTTCATGTAGATGTTCATTTCAAGCTGATTCCTAGTGGAACAGTGCACACCAATTGCCCTGCGTCTTGATACTACAATGTCAAAAGGACTCCCGAATATAAAACTGTATTGAGTTTCAAAGGTCACTGGTTCATAGCACAGCACATCCCTTATATAGACTGGCATTATTTTCTAGTCAGTATATATGAGCATATCGCAGACACCAAACTTCACATCACTATTTCTATACTTTTTCCTCTCTTTATTTTTCAGCAAACTGACGTTGAGTACATGTCTTCCTACAACGATTACGATATTATTGCAGGACAAGGAACAATAAGGTAATTACATATATTGCAGATGTTACTCTATTATTATGGATTCTACATTTGTGTACATGTGCAAATTAAACTTTGTCGGTATACAAAGAATGAATTATCTGTATTGCGAAATAAAGTCCCTCAACATGCTTCTCTCGGTGGCCTTACACGATCCTGGCCAAAGAACATCTGTCTGGTCATACAACCTCGATTCCCTGGTTCCGGGTCTTTTATGACGTCACTAACCCCAAGCGTAGCAATGTTGACGAAAACTCATCTATCTGCAAACATTGTTTGCACAAAGAAAATAATCTCATCTTTCTAACTGGTACGGTCAATATATTGTAAAATGTCTTATTTTCATCACGTCGCCTTTTCCGCATTGCAACATGGAACTTTTTCAAATTCGTGACGTCACACCATTGTTGAGCAAATCTGACGTTTAGTAACGTGAAACGTGATGCAAGATTTCTTCCACCCCTTTCTTACCCTGGACAGTTTATCATACACACATGGAAATGAGAGAAAAGACTCCGTGTCCTACCCTAACGGATTTTTTTTTTTTTTTTTTTTTTTTTGACTACTTAAGGTCTTATTTATATAAAACCAACTCATACAAGAGTGATTAACTGTATAATGTCACGCGTTTGTTTAAGAGATAATCAACATATGTGGACGTATCATGGTGGATTAACATGGATGTGAAAAAGTGAATCAGAGATCGCCTCAGCCTGTTAGTATTGGTTTTAATTTCAAATACTATTTATCAAAGTAACATATTCCTTCATAATAAAAAAAATATGAAAATGTTATTAAATATGTCTTTATTTCATTGCTTATACGTCAACCTGACCTTTGATCATCGTATTGATAAAGTTATGTTGTTCTGTTCCCTCATTAACATTTGTCACGTGATGCCTCGTTTTCATTTCGCCAACGAGTTAATGATACAGCTGCTCTCATAATTGGATGCTGCAGATCCTGGTTATGGTGCTCACAAATATAACGTGGCTGCATGTGAAACTTTTAAGACATGTACATAAAACGCGTGTTCCCACAATAGATATGTAGACACGACATGTATACTCACATTACGCTCCATAATGTAGGCTTAATAATCATTATTTCATTTTTATGCACCAACATGTCAATCTCCATCCGATCTTGACCCAGCTCTCGCCATTTGTGTTTTAATTTGATATCTTGTTCCAGTCAGATAATTATTATAATCGTACTTTATTCCAGTTTGATAAAAACTTGCGTTCGACTTTCTCATTAATATCAAAATGTGAGCGGAATAAATCCAAATTACTTGCTTGCTTTCTAGATCTTTATTAGTTTAAACTGTATTTATTTCAATAGACAATACATTATATTTTCAATAAATAAACTACAACGATTCGGAAACAAGTAATAAGTATAAGCAAATGTGTAATGTTTCCTAAATCATGTTTTAAAAGATTAAAACGCAATTGTAATGCCACCTTAACGAATTAGTTCAGTTTGGTTTCCTCTCTTTGTGCAGCGTTGAAATTTTAAAACAACTATCGGAAGTTGATGCCATATTAGTATCAGTTGGGGGAGGAGGATCGATAAGTGGAATAGCAAGATATACAAAGCAAATGAAACCATCTGTCAAGGTAGCGTAATCACGATTATTTGATCATAATTTCTCTCTTTTCCAGAAAAAAAAACAGGTTTTAAAAGTCAATAGCATTACTTACTCTCTTTCAGAAGGGCAACTTTTACGTGAGTTTTGGCTTGATATTCTGTCAAAGAAATAAACACTGATACCCAGATCAACGAGAACGGGGAACAGCTTCATCATATCGACGCTAATCAGTAATGAAGCTATCAATTATGTCAATGCGGACTATTGTTCTGTGAAACTCAGTTTAGCATTACTAATATACAATAATCACAATGGAGAAATATTAAGGGTAGGTAATACTTGGATGAAAATCACAGAACTGATTATCTACATTCCTAATCATGTAAAACAATTTTCCAATATACTGTATAACATGAAATGGTCGTTGTGTATTAACATTCGTGGTTATCGTGGTTGCTATTGAAACACGATAATAAATACAACGAATTTGAATAATATAGTGTCTACTGTAAATATAGGATATCCATGAAAGTTTGTACCACGAAACGATCTCAAAAGCTTCAAACCACGAAGGAATGTACGCACGAATATTTCGTGTTATGCAGTATCTTATCTTATCTTAGATTTTTTTACATTTAACATATACACATGTTTGTGTCCTGTACTGTAGAATAATTTATTTTCATGGGGTTAACATTTCATGGTTTTCATATACTAGCATTGTTCAAGGACATTATATTTCGCTGATATCTGATTATCATACTAAATTTATGTTTTCGTGGGGATATAATTTTGTTGATTTTTGTAATCTACGAAATAAACGAAATTTAATGTTCCACGAACATTTATGATTTTACAGTGCAATTCTGATAAATAATAAAGTGATTTATTAGATGTATAAGTTTATCCTGGGTGTATTCTAACCTGGTATTTTACAATAAAGGTATTTATCTTTCCTAAATTACTTTCTACTGTTGTGTAACCCGAATGCAATTTGTACATCTCTCCTCTCTTTGTTTATTTTATTTTATCCATTTTCTATTCTGTTTTCTATCCATCCAGATAATTGGCTGCTCACCAGAGAAATCTAAAGTGATGCACGAAAGCATGAAAGCTAAGAAATTGATATTCGAGGAATCGTTCGATACCTTGTCGGACGGAACGGCAGGTGCTATAGAGGAGAATGCTGTAAGATCACTTTGACTTAAATTAATACTTGATTTACAAAATATTTATATCCCTCTTTAGAATATGACACAACAATTAAAGTAAGTGATAAATAATTTGTTCACAGATAAAACTTGAGCTGTGTTTCAAATTTTATTATAATAGCAATTCACAATCTTGGTTTGCAAAGTCTTGATTTAAAAGATCTTCAAACTCAATTCGCTTGTCGGTGGCGTTCGCTGTGTGTTTCTGATGATATTTGTTTTTTGATTAATTACGATATACTCGAAGTTACACAATTCAGGTAATAGAGTAATATCACATTTAGGAGAGTAGCAGAGCTTAAACTCACATCCCGGTTATCACTGTTACACAAGACAAAGCCGAGGGAAGCAATGGTATTCAAAGGAATGAATCTATACACTCTCAGATTCTAATGATAAATGTAACACACGCACACAGGTAAATGCACCTTTCAAAGGTATTTTGGTAAAAGATAAAGTTAACCAAAAAACCAGAAGTATACTGAATAACATTTATCACCATATTTATAAATAAAAACAAAAAAGTGTATGCTTTTTATGTATTATGATTACCATCCGTTGATATTTTGCACTTTGACCTGTTGCGTGGATCGTTTCTGAAGGATTGTTTTTACATTTTAAATGTGATTGTGATGTCTGTAAACAAATATACCGGCTCCATCAATTCTGATGTGAAATATACCAGTAAAACCCAATACTGTTGATAAACAGGTGACGTTCGAGCTGTGCAGGCATTACGTGAACGAGTGGATACTAGTCACAGAGGAACAGATAGGAAAGGCCATTGTCTTCATGGTGCAGAATCACCACAAGACACGGCAAGATATCTAGATACATGTAGCTGTCATAGGAAGAAATTGTATGATATACTTGGCCAGGTAATAACAAAATCTGACAAAAAAACAGCGATACATCTGGAGCAGCAAAACGTGGATTCAAACTCTAAAACGTGATTTATGACATAGCAAGGAAGTGATTTATGACATGGCAAGGAAGTGATTTTTGACATGGCTAGGAAGTGACAACGTAACATAATCAAGGCCATGGTCTAATCTGACACAGCAAGGTAGTGATATTTATCTGACAGAGCAGGAAACTGACAATATGTGAGATAGCGACATAGTGACAAAACTAACACGGTAAGATGGGGATAAAATCTGCCGCAGCAATGTATTTTCATAGTCTGTTACAGCCAAGGAGTGGCACACTTTGGCATAATAAGTTCTCGATGTGATCTATCAAAAAAGGCGTTACAATAGTTTTAAAACATGGTAGTGATGTAAGACACACAGCAAGGTTGTGACAAAACATGTTACATCACGGCAGCGGCAACGGCTGACACAGCAAGACAGCTATCAAATATGACAAAACATGGCAGCGTAAAATCTGTCACTGCATATAACACGGTAAAGCAGCAACAAATCTGACATTGGAAATCTTTCATGAACTGGGTCGGATTTTGTTGGATTTATGATGTTGTTTTTTCTATTATTTTGTTGACTCAATAACCCCTATTGTTGTTTCTGTATCGAATTTGGGTACAGGTGATATTTCTGTAATGTGTAATCATTAAATTCTCTGCACTGAATGTAAAGTATGCAATTCAGATCTTTCATTGAATTTTCATACGTTTCCAAATATCGAGATTTGATATTTTGATCAATTTAATATAGTATTCTTTATTTTAACGCAAATCATATTTCAGATTGTTGAGGGGGCCGCTGGCGTATCCCTGGGAGCTTATATGTTCAACCCTGAAAGGTTTAAAGGTCTAAAGGTGGTGATATTATCTTGTGGGGCAAATATCAGTACAGCGACACTACAGGACCTCTTAAATAAATATGCATAGACATTTATCTTCGGTATACGTTTTCAATGTGGTTCTCTCATGTTGACGTAGCTCCTTCATTAGAGCGTCCGGCTAGCAAACCTGAGGTCCTTGGTTCGACACCTAGTCGAAGCATTGAGACAACAATCACCTCTGCTACAATAACAATGTTTTTTATATTTGTTCATGCATGGATGAACTATTTGTATTCGGTTTTATAAACCCCTGTAACATTTGATGTCTTCACAACAATTAATACTCAGTTTTAAATTAGCTTAACGTACAGTTATTCATAAGCATAGAAATCAATTATATACATTCGTATCCACACTGATATTTTTGAAACTATTAACTTCCATTTATTAAAAACATGAGGTTGGTCGGTGGCGCATTGGATAGCGCATTCGCCTTTCACCAACACGGCTGACATTCTACTACCCAATTAAAACGTCAAAAGGTATTGGGTCACCTGCCCGACCACGTGGGTTTTGCTCTGGGTACTCCGGTTTCCTCCCACATTAAGACCCTCCTCGCGATTCTGTCCTGGCAAGAAAGAGTTATAAATATAAGTTGCTAAACTTGTTTCATAATAGTTTTAAAATAAATAAAGTTTATTTATTTAAAAGCATGATTCAGTTTGTGTGTATGTTGTTTTCTTTAAATTTGCTTTGAATCTGTATGATAGGGCGTGATCATTATATGTAGCTGAATTTCCAATTGTAAAACAAATCAACATACATATAGACAATTTCTATACAATAAGTTATCTCTTATTTCGTGTTCCTACCGTAAAAGGAATAATAAAAAACCTTCTACACTATATTGAATAATATAATATCCAATAGATGTAAGGCATTGAGACGTTGAATGCATATCATCTAGGTTTGATATCTACAAAGTACACCAACAAAGTACCCTTACGCGTAGAATGTAATATCCATTTTAACACTTCAAGTGTTTTGACTTTGATTGTTAATTGTGAATAAAATGATTTTAAAAAAACCAATCTATGTATTAAATGATAGAGATACCGACTGGGATGAACTTTAGATGTTATGTTGTATGTTTTAAATTACACCAACCAACGAAGCGAAGTTATCAGAATATAGTAACAGTTATCTCGCTTGCTTCGCTTAAACAAAAATATGTTCAGTTTTGTTATGATTCGAAAGGTTACTCTCAAAATGAATGATATTATGTGCTTTATTACGAATAAGAAAAGTTTATTATCTTGACACTGTACATAGGTAAAATTTTGTTTTTTCATTACTTTCAAATGAACTGATCTGTACGATCTGCAAATTCATTCGTTATTTGTAATCTGGAATTTAATCCTTGTACGTTTTCATTGATGAAAGCAAGATAGTTGTTTATTCGGAGGACATATTAAAACAAAAAAAACCCATCAAGGACAGACAAAAGAAACTGAACCGAAGCCACGTTCTCCACAAATGCAAGAGTTCCTTGAGCGGCATGATGTCTCCCATTAAATCCAGCAACCTATGTGGGTGGTAAACTCCTCAGACACAGTAAACAAGTACTTAATCATGATTTAGCTGAAATCCAAACATGTAGCTCTGAGGATTACCCCAAGGATTTTTAATGAAAGTGAACATTAGGTCTACAGTGCAGCAGCATGCCTCACTAAAATGGAACACTATAACAAACGCTATATAGGTTCATGGTATGCCATTAAACTGTTATAACGCGTCATCTCGTAGTACTAAATTTGTTATTATAAGTGTGGATTTAACGATCCATTGCACACTTTGATTTGTTTTCACTGCAGATTAAATGAGTCATTTTTAGACACAAAATTGGGCCAAAGTTTGCTTCGTCGTTACAATTGCCGAAATCTAGATAAAATCTGCTTCGGCATTCTTGTTGCCTAAACTGTAGTTCGATCGATGAAATGATGACATATTAAAACCATTTATTGCTGTCGAAATTGTAGTTATTGTTTGAATACAAGAGTACAAGCGTGGTCATTCAGAAAATACACGTATGATGAAATAATCTTACCTATTTATAACCTAGTTTGTTTATTGAATACGTGAACCAAACTAATATCTTCGTAGAAATATGGAGCTAAGTAATCATACACAAATAGGGGAGTTTAATTATTATAGTGTTTAAGCTCCACCCTGTCTTTGAAAAAGACATCACACCGAAAAAATTGAATTGAACGACAAGTTTGAGTTTAATTTACATGTGAAATAACCATTGGCCATTTGCGGGACGATTTCGATTTCTCGGTCATGAACTTTCCTTTTCTTGATAGTGACATTCCTGTTTCATCAAAATACGTTGTAAACAGGTCGCACCTGATGCACACAAAACTACAACACTGGATTTGAAAAGATGCAGGAGACGATGAATGAACTTAATATTTCAAAGACTCAGGTTTCAAATGTTAATTACATCTAATGGAATTGTGTATTATTATTTTAATATTAATAATATCTCATTTTTTTCAATTTTTATTTTAATAAAATCATAATTCATGATATCGTTGTGAAATATGCTACTATTTTTATCACGCTCGTTAGTATGTTGTTACCACTCAAATTCTCGCTATGAGGACGTTACATCACTTAAATTTATCCTAGCTTTACTTGGAGGATGGCGTCGATGAAGCAGTAAACAAGTATTCGTCCGGAACATATGGTCAGATTATTCTTGTACTTTTTCAAGGGTCTCCATGTAAATCTTTCCTTTGTTTATATCTTGCCCTAGTCTTATCGATTTGTAAATCTTTCCTTTGTTTATATCTTGCCCTAGTCTTTTCGAATTTCGGATTTGTTGACACTTCGGTATTCTCTTCTTTTTTATTTCATACTCGCGAAGGGGCAGGTTACCAAGACAGCCTAGGGACAGGACAACTACGAGCCGTAGAGCACAAAACCAATCTCATCTTTAACTTGCTAATTTAATTAAATAACCGATATATGATAAGGACGAAATATATACTCAAGAAATAGATGCCGTGAACGTGTTACTTACGTTATTTATAAGAAGAATGGGTTGGATGTAGATTAAATGGCGATGTAAATACATATATGTTAAAGACCGGACAAACGTCAGGATGTATAAGCTTGTGCTATATTTGAAAGAATCATGGTTTCAAATTTTAATTACATCTAATGGCATTTTTTTTATTTTTTTTTTATTTTGCATCATCGTTTTTTTTCAATGCAAATCTAGCATTTCAATTACACTTGTTAAACAATGCACTAGGAACCATCTTAGTATGAGCCTGTTCATGATTTCAAGTTCTGAATCATGTATAAAATATGATTAGACTCCCGATAATTTCACTTTAGAATTCAATTTGCGAGGCGCTTAACAATATTGTAATCAGACATAACTAAAAAGCAACGACGTCTCTTTCATTCGCTAAAAGCATGCAGTCGGTTTAGATATTGTTTTACGCTTGGGTATGAACATTCCCGTTGTTGTGATACGCCCATTGTGTGTAGGGTTATGTCCCATGTGTGGAGATGCCTGTCCTTCCATAGGAATCATAAACCCGTCCCATGTTTTTTGATGATGTGGCAATACATTCATCACGATTGCAAATATTTGAAACGTTTTGAAGCATTGTTATCTTGATATCGGTTTCTAAATATTTGCATTAGAGCTTCTTGCTTATATAATTTAAAGATGTAATGGCATTATTCTTGAAATTATAATAGTTATTAGTTAAACAAAATTAAACACTTTGTAAAATAACATTATTGGTTTGATCATATTGTAATTTAAATCTTTTATTGCAAATGTGCTAAGCTGATCATGCTGAAGAAATAACATATTTATTGCGATGATTTATGTTTCCAACTTTTATCGACCATCACACAAAGTATTAAATGTTGTTTTGCGTTCTGAACTTTCTGTCGGGACATCTAGAGAATTTACAACAATTGAAATGTCACCGCGTCCATGAAGACTGGGTGCATCACAGCATTAAACAGGTCATCGAATCTTGTGTGCATAAATCGGGAAAATCGCTGCCGATGAAAATTCTTTATAATCAGCAAATAGTTTGTCATTTTACGATCGTAAAATATGACAATTTCAACGGTTAATACGAAAACATATAGAGTCATTGAGGTTCTAACAAATTTAAAATGAGTGCCTGTGATTGTACCAGCTGTAATTGATAAAATGGTAGTGCTGTATCGTTCAGAGCTGTCACGATATATCAATGTTTCCGTGTTAATCAAGAATATAACAATAGCTCATATACTGGTGCTGGCGACATGAAATTATTGCTCATTTTGCTTGTTTCTTGTACAATTTGTATTTGATTTATGAACCTGGCAAGAAAAAACGTTTCCACCAATGAGGAACGAAAAAATCTCGTTAAATTTGACTTTCTTCCTCTATAACTTGACAGGTAAACCGTGATTGATTCTGTCGCTGCTCCATGTGCAATCCATTAAACAACTCTTGAAATGATTGATCTTTGTCGAATTTCTTTAACAGATTACATGTTCTGGTTTATATCTGAGTTGCAAAAAGAGAATAGAGGATGACAACGGTTTTGTGTTTTGATATGTGTCAGATCCAACACTATTCGAAAGGCCCATGGTTTTATGCTCCATTTGAATTCTGTGCCGTATCGTCCAAGCAATCTGAATCTCATATAAACCATGCAGTATTAAAAATGGAAAGCCCCAACACAGACTTCTATAACTAGTAATAAAAATAAGATTTGTTTTATGGAACCGTATACGTTAAATCATGAAATACACAGCAGTTATAGAATGATGGAAGCCAAATTCTCCAAATATGCACTCAAAACGATACACAGTTTGCCTCGAAACCCACTGGTCTCGTAAACGTATCAGAAATGGGTGATCTAACGTTCTGACGCTCTTACAACATTGTTTGTGGTTTATTTGCTGCAATTCACAGCAGCTAGATATCAGTTAATTCACCAGTGCATTTTTGGGGGTAGGACAATCGCTGAGGCAAACCAAGCGTAGAGCAGCTACAGGCGTCTATCGCGAACTACTAAA